ATTAAATAGCTAGTAATTTCCAAATTGATTATATATTAAGGTACTCTTTGGCATATATGAGGGTCAATATAAATACTGTCACTGTCCTCCCGTTGTTCATGGATTTGCTCGCTAGGGCCCAGTAACATTGTAAGACTTGTTACAATATAAATATTAGTAAGATCAATTTCACTCCTCCTTTTGAGACATGAAATTTCTGCTTCTGTTCTCTTCTGCCAGCTGCCTGCAAATGCCCATCCCCAGGGAAAATTCTGCAGGACGATCCCTGGTTGGAGCCCAGTCTTGGAGCACACTCAGCCGCTCGCTAGCGGAATGAAACTCTTTCCCCACTTCCCAAGGCATGCTGCTTGGTTTTTCTCTGGCTTTGTGTGGGAATTTCCATGACACACCCAGTGGAGCTCAGGTGTAACTCCCAGGTCACTCCTAGTGGTCCGTGGGATGCTAAAGATTAATCCAGGATTCCCCTGAATCCAGGATTCAACCTCTGAGCCATCTCTTAGGCCCTGAATTTGTTTTTTTCTGTTTGTTTAAGGGCCACACCCAGAACTGTTCAGGGTTTACTGCTGGCTTTGTGCTCAGGCCTCATCCCGAGACGAGATGAGGTGCTGGGAATCAAACCCGGGTCGGCTGCATGCCAAGCTGGTGTCCTACTCATTGTACCATCTCTCTCGCCTGGGATTCAGTTTCGAACCCAGCGGCTCCCTGTGAGGACAGTCCAGTGTGCAACACCAAAGGGCAGGCACCAACCTGCATGTCCCTGCATGCCACGGCGTTAATTCATGCAGAGCAGAGACTAGATTACTTGGCTAGCATTAAAAGAAATAACTTAGATTATAGGGTCTTAAAGTTGTGGTTACTGGATCCTTGATAACTATTATAATACTAAGACCTTAATGGTCTTTTTTGTTCTCTTTTAATTGTTTTGTTTTTCTTTAGAAGTTTTCGTTTGGGGAACACCCTGCGGTGCGCAGGGCCACCAGACAGCGGGAGGGTGGGCTCTCCCTGGTGCTGTCACAGCGGGCGGGCTGTCCACCGGCCTCAGGAGTTTGTAAGCCTGCGCCCTGATCTGGAGTCTCTGGAGCTGGGCGCAGGCCTGGTGGATTCTGGAAGCGGGAGGAAATGGGCCCCCACCTGGGACCTCCACTTGCCGCGTGAGAGGCAAGCGCTCGACCTGCCGTGCGATCGCTTCATCTTTTAAAAATATTTGGTATGAGCCTCAAACTGAAATTATCTATCAATCAATCAATCAATCAGTCTGTCATCTTTGGTGATAGGATTAGGGAGAGGATCACATGATTAGAGCGGGTACTTTGCACCTGGAGGACCCCCAGAGCTCGGAGCCTAGAGCTGACCAACCATTGCTCCACGTGGCCTTGAGGCCCCTGGGCACTGCCAGGGTGGCCTGGGCAATCCTCAGCATTGCAGAACCCGAGCAGCGTCGCCTCATGGGCCCTTGCATTGAAGAGCCGGCGGAGAATTGCAGAGGGGGGCCCTCAGCGTTGCTTGGGAGCCCCCAAAGTAGCATTTAAGTTCTGGGGGAACCATTTCTGGTGGTGCTCAGGGCTTACTCCTGGCCCTGTCTCAGGGACTGCTCCTAGCTGGGGGTAGGGGAACCAGATGGGGTGTTGGTGATTGACCCGGGCTTGGCCGCGTGCAAGGCAAATGCCTCACCCACAGTACTATCTCTCCAGCCCCTGCATTTAAGTTTTAAGCAAAAAGTTAAAACTTGGGGGTGGGAGTTTGAGACCATACCCTACAACACTCAGGGGCTACTCCTGGCTTTGTTGGGGCGTCACTCGGGACAGTGTTGAGGGACCATATGTGGTGCAGTGAATTGGATCAAGAGTCTCATGGGGGGCTGGAGAGATAGCACAGCGGGTAGGGCGTTTGCCTTGCACGCGGCCAACCCGGGTTCGATTCCCAGCATCCCATATGGTCCCCTGAGCACCACCAGGAGTAACTCCTGACTGCAGAGCCAGGAGTAAGCCCTGTGCATCGCTGGGTGTGACCCAAAAAGCAAAAAAATAAATAAATAAATAAATAAAGAATTAGAATGCAGGGAAGCTTTCTTATAGTATAAGTGACATGTGTCAGCACAGCCAGTACATAATTCTGCAAAATTATACCTAGGGGTGAGGGACCATTTAGGATGGAGAACTAGATTCTCATGTAACAGAGTGAGGTTTGGGGTTACACATTTGCCTTGCCACATCGTAAACTCCAAGACACTACCAGTTGTGGGAGGTTTGATGTAGTATCAAAGAGGGTAACAACCACAAAGTCTGAAAAGGCTTTTCAACCACCCCTCCCAAGGCAATAAATTATTGCAAATCGCAACGCAGAAGTTTGTGATGCAGCTCTTCTACGTAGACCAACACTCAAGATATGTGCAAAATGCTGTTTCTCTTTGCTCTAAAACTTCCTGTGTTAACGTGTAAATGTTTATGTGTGAGACCTTGGCTTCTTCCAACACACACACACACACACACACACACACACACACAATGTAATGGTTTATGATTTTTCACTTTTTGTTTTTGTTTTGTTGGTTTTGGGGGCCACACCCATCAGTGTTCAGGGCTGATAATCATATTCTAGCCCCATATGATTGTCACTTTAAAAAAAGGCCATTACTGGCTAGGTATGGGGCTCCATGGTAGAACATTCCTGTGATGTGTGAGGCCCTGGGTTTGATCCCCATTATTGTAACCCAAAATACACAAATACAACAAAAGTAGATTTATTGATTTAAAATACGGCCAACCAGGGTTTGATTCCTCTGCCCCTCTTGGAGAGCTCGGCAAGCTACTGAGTATCTCGCCCGCACGGCAAAGCCTGGCAAGCTCCCCGTGATGTATTTGATATGCCAAACACAGTAACAATAAGTTATAATACACATACTGAAAAATTCATTTTGGGGGGCTGGAGAGATAGTACATCAGCAAGGCACTTACCTTGCATTCAGATGATCTGGGTTCAATCCCAAGGATAGCAAATGGTCTCCAAAACCTCACAGAAGTAATCTCTGAGTTTAGAGTTAAGAGTAAACCCTGGGCACCTCATTCTTTGGTCTTTAGTATATTCAGAGTGGTACAATCGGGATCATGTTGAATATGTTCAGTTCCGAGCCAGTAGATGGGTAGGGCTCTTGCCTTGCCCCCTGCCCGCCCAGGTTCAATCCCCTGGGTCCCATATGATCCCCCTAGCACCAACAGGAGTAATTCCTGAGTGCAGAGTTCAGCGTAATCCCTGAGCATCTCCAGGTGTGACCCCAATCACACCCTCCAAAGCAATGGGGTTCCTTTTCAGGAAACTGGTAAGCACCAGAGGGGTGCCTGGCAACTGCCATTCCCAGCAGAAAGGATTCAAGACAATTGGCAGATGTTAACGTTTCAAAATTTACTTTAAAATATGGGATGCTCGCCTTCTCCAGGCTCATGGAACCTCGGTGACCATGAGCCTCTACAAGCATAGCTCAGGCATGCGGGAACCAGGACATTTTTTCCAAACCACGCGGCTGCTTACGCGGCAGCGTGACATCTCCTTATATATACAAAGTGATCAATGCAAAGTAAATCATCCAACGTTTCTCCCTGAAAATCAGGCTTAACTCTTCTGCAAATCACAACACTCAAAAGGAGAGAGAGAACAGAGGGGAATGCCCTGCCACAGAGGAAGGGTGGGATAGGGGTATGGGGGGAGGGAGGGATACTGGGATCCGTGGTGGTGGGAAATGGGCACTGGTGGAGGGATGGGTATTCGAAATAAAAATAAATTAATTAAAAAACAATATGGGATGCTGGGAATCGAACCCCAGTCGGCCGCGTGCAAGGCAAACGCCCTACCCGCTGTGCTATCACTCCAGCCCCAAGTTAAGAATACTTTCAATTCCAAGACTTTTATTCTTTAACACTATTTTTTTTTTTGGTTAAAATAATAACGACTCCCCTCCCCCGGGCTGCCCCTCCCCCAGCAGATCCCGCGCCCTTCCCAGCACCTCCGCGTGCCCCCCAGGGGCACCCCGGGCGTCCTGCGGAGCTGTCCCCGCTGGGGCGAAGCTGTGTTTACGAGGCGGCTGTGGCGGCTGATGTAACCGTCTCGGCGCAGCCTCCCCGGGACGCGCCTCGCTGCGTGCGCCCCGTCTCGCCCGGCACCTTCTCCCGGCTCCTGCCGCATCTGGGGAACAGCTGTGCGCGGTTCTGCGTTTTGGGGAGCCCGGCTTGGGCCCCCTGCGCACTCTCTCCCCCGCCCCCTGTCGCGTATCTGCTTTTCGTGCGTTTTGGAAACTTTGCGGTCTGGCCACACCCCGCGATGCCCAGGGGCTCCTCCCGCGGGGGGCGGGGGTCGCTCTGCACCCAGCCCCGGGCCCCCCCCCCCGGCACGCCCCGCAGGCGCTCAGCGGGGTCCTCCCACCCCGGCCCCTTCAACTTGTGGTGCCGATCGTGAAGCTGGGGGCCACACCCCGCGGTGCTTGGGGATCACTCCTGGCGGGGGACCCAGTGGGGCGCCGGGGATCGCCCCTGCTCGGCCGCGACCAAGGCCAGCGCCGTCCCCACCGCCGCCCCCGCCTCCCCATCCATCTGGGTCCCTGGAAACGCTTAGGAATATTCGGCCCCTGCCCGCCCCGCGCACTCTCGGGCTCGGAGCTCGTGGCCCGGCCTGCGGCTCCCAGCCGCGGGGGCGCGTGGCCGTCCCCGGGGAGCCCCGGGCCCCCACCCACTCCCCCACCCACCCCGAGCGAGCCTCGAGCGCCTCCCGCAGAAGCTCCTCGGGGCAGCGGGAAAGGAACCGCCTGAACGGTCGGTCGCAAAGCCCGTCCCCTCCCCCCTCCCGAGCCGGAGCGGAGCGACCGTGCCTGGGGGGGCCGAGAGGCGGGAAGGGGTGCGGGGTGGGGGTGGGGAGGAGGTCCCCCGAGGCGCCGACACCTGCTCCGGGCGGGCCCCGCGGCGGCGCCGCCTCCGCGCCGCGGCCCCGCCCCGCCCCGCCGCCCGCCCCGGCCGCCCGCGAGTCCCGCGGCCGCGCGTCGCCCGCCCCGTCCGAGCCCGTCCGTCCGCGCATCTCGGCCGGCCGGGCCATGGCCAGCGAGGAACTGGCGCGCCAGCTGCAGCGGCGACTGCGGTGGGAGCAGGCGGCGGAGGGCGGCGCGGCCGGGGGCCCCGATCCCGCGTCCGACGCCCCGGAGCCCCCCGCGGGCGCCGACGACGAGCTGAGAGCGCAGCTGAGCCGCCGGCTGGACATCAACGCGGGCGCGGCGCGGGCCCGGCGCTGCCGCGTCTTCCACCCCTACTCGGAGTTCCCCGAGTTCAGCCGCCGCCTCATCAAGGACCTGGAGGGGATGTTCAAGCTGTGAGCGCCCCCGGGGACCCCCGCTGCGGGGGGGAAACCGGGATGCGGGGGGTGGGGGCGGCGTCGCCACGTGCCTGGCGCGCGGCGAGGGGCGGGTGGGGGGACACCCGGGCGGGCGCCGCAGCTGCCCCGGAGCGAGGTCAGCCCCGAACCCGGGGCTCCCGGGCACCGACGGCGGCCCCGCCTGCCCTGGGCTGGTTCCCGAGATTGCTCCGAGCGCAACTTCTAGGGAAGGCGCGCGACACACCTGCAGGCGCTACTTCTCTCCCTGGGGGGGACTTCACCAGCCCCGGGGGGGAGGGGGGCTCCCCTCAAACCCAAGAGGACAGTCGTCCTTGGCGGCGTGGCGAGGTCTGGACTCCCCGCAGAGGCAGCGATGGGGGAGTTTGTAGAACGGGCCGCCCAAGGGTTTCAGGAGCGCGCGCGCCCGGGGGTCTCGGGGGCGCGCGGTGGGGAGGGGCCCGGTGGGTTCCGTGGCATCTCGCCTCCGGCTCTGGAGGTGCCTGGCCCTGTCCGAACCGGACCTGGCAGCTGGCAGCGGGTCCTGCGGGAGCTCGTGGCTGACCGGGCTGTCACGCCCCAACGCTTTGGGAATCTGCGGGCGCGTCCCCACACCGCCGAGTCGACTCAGGCGCCCTTCTCTGGGCCTCGAGAGGTGCCTCCCTCCCGGGGAGAGCATAGAAGTAATCCTGCCCTTGATTTTTTGCCTATTTTGGCTACACCCAAAGGTGCTTCGGGCTGACTCAAGGCTCTGCGCTGGGACTTGGGAGGGGGCAGACCATACGGGGTGCCGGGCAAGGCAAGTGCCCTACCCACTGGACTATCTCTCCGGCCCCCTAACCCTGCCTTTTAAGGCCATTCAGGACCCTGCGAACCCTAAGCTCATAGCCGCGCTATTAATATTATATCCAGAATTGGGCCAACACCGGAAACGTGCCCCCGGAGCGGAGGCCGCTGGCCAGGTCACGCTTGGGGCGGTTTAAAAAGCGCTTGGAATGTGCTTGTCCCCGTGAGAGGAGATTCTATTTAAGGGCGCTGTGTGGCCAGCTCCGGGCCCCTCTTGGTCTGGGCTGTGGTCCAGCCCCGGCCGCTGCGGTGACCGCCAAGGTGCCAGCCTGCAGCCTGACACCCCCATTCCCCGACCCCTGCTTCCCAGGGCACAGGTGTTCTCACCAGGTGGGTCTAGTTTGGCTAGTAAGGAAACTGATTTTAGGCAGATAGTGTGCAGCCGAGGAGAGGCGCTCCAGGTGCATAGCTCTTACTTTGCCTCTTGGAGTCGTGGGTTCGATCCCCCTCACCGGCTGGCCCTTCCAACGCGGTTGGGAGAAACCCCTCCACCCACAGCTCCCCTACAACCCTTGATCCAGCACCAGCCTGGAGTAGCCACTTAGCCCCACCCGATATGACCCAAACCATCTCACCCCTCACCCCCCAACAAAAAGAACTAACTAGAGCAGAGGAACAGAGATGATGCCTGCCTGTGGAGCGTTTTTTCAGAGGCCTTGCAATTGTTTTGTTTGTTTGTTTTTTGACTTTTGGGGTCATGCCCAGAGATGCTCAGGGGTTCCTCCTGGCTCTGCACTCAGGAATTATTCCTGGCGGTGCTCGGGGGAACCATATGGGATGCTGGGAATCGAACCCGGGTTGGCCGTGTGCAAGGCAAACGCCCTGCCCGCTGCGCTATTGCTCCAGCCCCACCTTGCAATTGTTTTTTTTTTGGGGGGGGCGCGTTACTGTTCCAGCTGGATCCTGGAGGGCGTCCCTGGGGCTTCCTCTTCAGATTGCACTCGGACTCAGTGTTCTGAATGTTGGTGTTTCTTTCCTGAAAAATCAGCCTCTGGAAGCATGAGCCGCACTGTGTTTGCATGTATGTGTGAGTGCGCGTGTGTGCATGCGTGCTGGTGCTTCTCGTCCAGGGCTCCTGGGTGTGTTCCAGTCCTCAGCACTGGCCCCTCTGCCACTTTCCACCACCAATGTCATGAACAGAAGGGGATTCGTGGGCTCGTGAAATTAGAAAGTCAGGTGGGATCAGGTATGGCTGGATCCAGGCGCTCAGATCCCGTTCTTCTTTCTCTCCGCCTTTAACCAGCTTCCCCAGGTGTCTCCAGGGGGCTTGTTTCTACAGTGACACTGTGACCCCAGCAGCTCCAGAGGAAAGGCGTCATCACAGAACGGCCTTATTCTCCAGCCCCTTCAGCCTCACCATTCTGTCTTGGAACTTCACTTATCTTGGGCAGGGACCAGTCCGGGTGGTGTTTGGGGGACCAAATGGGATGCTGGGGATCGCACCCGGGTCAGCCAGTAGAAGGGCAAGTGCCCTCCCCGCTGTTCTCTCTCTCCGGCCCTCCTGGAGTTTTCTTACCGTCTCTTACTGTCTCCCAACCCGCTGCAGTGGTCAGTGGGCTTGGCTGCTCTGACTGGCCAGGTGAGCCACAAGCCACGCCCGTGTGTCTGGGCGGGACGCGTGCTGGTGGCTGGCAGTGACTTGTCAGCTGCGTCCTCGACGTGGCGGCTCTGGGCGCTGCTGGATCGGCCCTGTGTGTCCAGAGAAGGGCTGGCAGCTCTGCCAGCAGAGAGCGAACCTGAGGACACCTGGTGTGTCCAGCAAATTTTGTCCTGTGTCGGGGAACCTCAGTCCTTGGAGGTCAGAGAATTCATTCTCCGAGCCTTAGTTTTCTTGCCAGTGAAATGGGTATAAGGCTCACTTCCCTATGGGCTGGAGCAATAGCACAGCGGGTAGGACATTAATTAGCCTTGCATGCGGCCAATGAGGGTTTGATTCCCAGCATCCCATAGGGTCCCCTGAGCACCGCCAGGAGTAATTCCTGAGTGCAGAGCCAGGAGGAACCCCTGTGCATCGCCAGGTATGACCCAAAAATAAAAAAATTTTAAAAAAATGAGAAAAGACTCACTTCCCCAAGTGCTCAGGCTGAGACTGTGGCTGTCGTGGGCTGGGAGCTCTGGAGGTGCTGACTCCCACCCCCCTCCCAGATTTGGGAAGCCCCCCCTTAATCTCTTAATCAAGCATGAAGACAGTCATCCTTCAGGGGTACAGGAAGGGGAGTGGTGTTTCGCCCCTTTATTCTGGGATCTTCAGTTGTGATCCAGGTAGATGGTTCATCCATATGTTCCTTTCCTTTTACTTTTTTTGGGGAAGGGGCATGGGAGGGAATGAACCCACCCAGGGATGCTCAGGGCTGACTCCTGGCTCCGCACTCAGGAATCACTCCTGGTGGTGCTCAGGGACCCATACGGGAGGCTGGGGATCAAACCCGGGTTGACCGTGTGCAAGACAAGCGCCCTCCTCTCTGGCCTGCTGCTCTGGGCCCTCTTTGACCTGTTTTTGGTTTGTTTTGGTTTGGGGATCACACTCGGTGGTGCTCAGGGCTTACCCCTGAGCGTTCAGGGCTCAGTCCTGGGTGCCTGGGGAACCCTTTGCAGTGCCGGGACTGACTGGGGCTGTCCTTACTCCTCTGCTCTCTCTCCAGACCCCTCCTCTGTCTTTTTACCTGTAAAACAAGCAAACAGCTCCTCTCCTGACCTGGGTGATAAAGGGGTGACAAGGCTGCCTTGTCAGGTGACATCGGCTAGGGGCCATCTACCCCCTTCTTGGACTTAGATCCTTGCCCAGAGCTCTCCCCACTGCCTGGCCTCCTTTAGAAGCCCCAGGGTCTGGGCCTCTGCCCGCCGGTGTCCACACACACTCATCTTCCTCTGAGCCTCCCTTGCACGGTGCCTGGTCAGCCTTCCTGGCTGGGAGGCCGTTGGGATCCCGCCTGCCACTCCCCTCCCGGGGCCAGGGGCTCCCTGTCTCTGGCTTCTGTACTGACCACTACTGTCCAGCCCTCGGTGGTACCTTTTGTGAAGGGACAGGCCCCTCTTTGTTTGACGGGGCCTGGATGTCCTTGTATCCAAAGGAACCCACGTCCTCGCTGTCACTGGGTGAGACTAGCCCCCACCATCCCCTGAACAACCTGCTATCCCACCTCCAACTCCCCTGGGAGGACAGCTGGCTCTGGAACTTTCTCTGGGCCCGATCAGCTCAGTGGTACCCTGATGCCCCATAGGGTCCCCTCAGCCCTTCTGGGAATAACCCCTGAGTACAGAGCCAGAAGTTATGTCCCGTGTACTCCTGGATGCACCCCCACCCCCAAATATAAAGAAAGAAAAAATTTTAATTTCTATAGGAAATTTTAATTTCTCTATGAAACAAAGAACTCCCAGAGAGTAAACAAGGAAAAACTTAACCAAATCCAAAGCACTGTGAGATCATGAGAGAAATGAGGCTGAATTGGAGCAGTGAAACCCACGGCTTCTTCAGAACCCTGTTTGTTCCCGGGAAACATCTCGCAGTGAGCACTGAACTCAGAGCCTGGAGTAAGCATTGAGCAGCACCAGGTGTATTCCGCTAACCAGAATCAAGCAAAACAAGTAAAATATTGAAATGAGGGGCCAGAGCAATAGTACAGCGGGGAGGGCGTTTGCCTTGCACGTGGCCGACCCAGGTTTGGTTCCCAGCATCCCAGATGGTTCCTTGAGCATCGCTGGGAGTGATCCCTCAGTGCAGAGCCCGGAGTAACCCCTGAAAATCACCTGGTGTGACCCCAAAAGAAAGAAAGAAAGAAAGAAATGAAATACCCACATTTGCTGTAAATCCTACATAACTTTGTATTTGCGAAGTGATTTGCAATGGCACGTATCTATTTAGTCTTCATCTGTATTTCTGCATAGGGTTCCCGGAACCCTTGGGATGTCCAAGGCATGAAGGCGGTCTTGTTTGGTTATCATTAATCCATCTATTTAAAAAACTATTTTGGGGGGTCAGAGAGATAGTACAGTGGATAAAGTGTTTGCCTTGCACGCAGCCAACCCAAATTCCATCCCTGGCATCCCATAGGGTCCTCTGAATACCGCGAGGAGTGATTCCTGCGTGCAGAATCAGGAATAAACCCCTGACGTCACTACTGTCCTTGGGTGTTAGTCTCATACTATGTTATTTT